CATTGTATTTATACGTCGCGTGTAGAATACATTTGTTTATATCAAATTCGGGTGCAATCTGCATAGCGACATATTGGGCAGTACTATCAGGGGTAAATTCTTCTCCACAGGGTTCTCCACACTTGTCAGGGGGGAATCCCGTCTCGTCTCTCTATCTCGTCCCCTTGAGGTACGGGATCGGGAAAGTCACTTTAACTTTACAGTCAAATAAGACACACACACAACGAAATACGTTTCAACTCTCGTCTTAGTCGGTCAATCGAGCACTCTACCAGACACAGCGCCCTGGGGAAAAGTCCCCAAGACTCTCACAAGGCTGAACCAAGACTCGCCCAAGACTGGACTGCCTCAAGGCTCGCCCCTGGACTGGACTCGACTCTCCAGGACTGCACTCTCTCTCTACTGCGTCTAGCGTATTCGCGTAGAGTATTCGCCAAGACCAACTCAAACTCTCTTTATTTATTTTCAAAACTCTAACCAATTACAAAGCAGTAAAAGACTCTAGGGCGTAACCTTCAATCATAAAGCCAATCACACTAAGTACTGAATACGTCATATCTTTTGATTAATCGTTCACTACATTAATAACTACGTATGTCAGAATAGCGACGGTATCTTGTAATTAGTTCCAAATCACTGAGCCGAGTTCCGTCCAAAACTTCAAATAGGCCTACACGATGACAGACATAACACAGCAATTCGCTAATAATCAACTAATTAAGTCGGTCAACAGATACGCGAAAACAAATTCATGACAGTACAACCAAACAAATAATTACACATCCAATTTTTTGAAAGACCCAACGAGTCCGCCACTTGGATCAATCATAGATGTTGAATCTCCTCCGAGTGCTTCGCTCATCTTGGGAAGACCGTATCCGGCATTCTTGTCGATGTAACTTTGCTCCCAACTGAATAGTTTTTCGCTGTTTTCCCTGCTAATAGTTGACAATTCTGGTAAAACGCCGCCATAGTCACAAGGTAGACAGGCCGACGGAACATACTCGTGAAGAGAACCAAGTTCATCGCTATGTAGATGCGTCTGGGAAGAGAAAATGTGATGCTGCGGGTTATTAATAATTTTGCTCCAAGATAATATGCAACTCCGACTAAATCACTTGCTTCTTCTCGCCACATCAAAGACATTCTAAAGGCTCGATAGGTTTGAAGGCTCGACGAGTTTACCTATTATCTGTTTTATTAAAACGCAAAGGTTTACGGCTCTATGCATTATGTGCACTATGTACGACTTGCAATTTGCACATACAAAAAAAGTCAGGAAAGACAACAGTGACATTCAATATCCGGAACTGTCGCCTGGCACAAAAACATAATTAAAAATGTAAAGCCAAAAATTACACAGACCAATAACATGTTGAGTTTGGCCATAGACCCTAAAAATCATGATTTTTTTAGGGTTTATGGTTTGGCACATCAGTCTCAGTCTTAATTAAATCCAATGTAGGTATGTATTGGCTCCGTTTCTAATTTTGTTTTGCACATTTTAACGGATACAGTTGACCTCAACTAATCTGTTCAATAGATGATGCTCCCGAACTTGTGAAAGAAATCCCAATTATGTTTCACTTCAATGTGTGAGTGTTATTATACTGGTACATGTCTGTCTCAAAATACATGTATGTGTAGTTAACTGTAAACTGGAACACAAATAGACCTTGTATATTAGTCACGCCCTCTGGCGTCGAAAAGCTTACGTGACGTCTAAATGACGTAGATGGTTGGTTGTACAGTCATTCATCATTTAGAATCAAATCTTTAATGGCGGTTGACTACAGAGAATATCGACTCTGTAACCAGGGGATACCACTTACCCTTTTCCTCATTTTGGCACTCATGAATGCTTGATATATTTTGTATCCAGTCTCAAATAATGGCGGAGTATTTACATAATGCATAGCCTTGAATCGCAGCGGTAGTATACTCTGTTAAAAGCACGTGTAGTAAATAAAGGTGTGTCAAAAAATCGTGTACACTTGGGTATGGGATGAAAATATGGCAGACCAGTTGGTAAAAAGCACAATAAGACGAAAACAAGCATTTTGTTACGAATAGTGTGTTAAATCAGACAAATACAAAAATTTTAGAAAATCTCAAAAAAAAACAAAAAATTACGATCGAAATGTGCAACGAAACAGCGTCTTCACGGTAACAGTGAGATAATCGCTTGCTTGCTTAGCGACGCCAAATCACTATGCGCAAACCTCAAGGGAATTTGAAGACTGAACAAAATGGCATAAGTTATAATGTGACGGTACATTACTAAGCCAAATTTCAATGAAAACTTGTGCATTTGTGTTACCTGTAGTATAGTCATCATCATTTTCGCGTTGCTAGGCATTATATACGCACTGTGTTTTGTTGCTAGGTCAGCAAAGTCCAGAATTGTAACAACTCCATTAATCTGTATACGCTCGTCCTCTAACAAATACTCAGACGAAATCACTGCCGCTTTAACTGTGTCCACGTAACTACATCGATCAGGGTCCCATTTACCTACAAAAACAACTTGGCTATTAATTTGTTTATATACACAGTCACGCCCTCTAGTGATAGAATCTTCTTTTGCGTAAATAGACCACTTTCCCCGACGCGGGGAAGTAGCGTGATTGGGGTGCGAAAATGTTCATGCTATATCATGTCTGAAAATACAAAAAAATCAGTTTGCTGATAGTCGATAGAAGGGAATTTTATTCTTGTGACGTCGATTGGTACATGTGCATGCATGTTTACGTTACACCTTAAAACGATATGCGCGCGCATGCTAAACGCTGTATCTTCAACTTCCGAAAAAGTAGTTTATTGGTGAATAATAATAATAATAATAATAAGCTGATCACAGCGTTGATATTGCCCGTCATTAGACATATGTTGTTTTGGGTGAGATTTACTATATTTTCAATGACGAACAACTTAACAACAATACACATGATGTATAAACCACTTTCCCGGAAGTCGAAGATACGGTGTTTCGCATGCGCGCGCATACTGTTTTGGACATAACGTAAACTTGCACTCGTGATCTTGTGCTTTTGGGTGTACCAATCAACGTAACAAAAATAATTGGTCTATTGAAGATCATTGCTTTCGTCAACAGATACACTTTGTCGCTAGAGAGCGCACCTGATGGAAAAGATATATTATCAAATGTACGAATTAAGGGTAACGTGCTTGTCATTATTTTATGACCACGGTCACGTGCATGTCATTTTAAACTATGTATGATAAACCCATAACTATGGTTTGGCTGGTGTTTTACGAAAACCAAACTGCTTTTGAGACATCATTTTAATAGTATTGCTGAAACTGATTATTGATTAATATTAGCCGTATCCCCGCCATCATTTTTTGAATGTGTGTTATTTTATAAATAGTTGAGCTATTGGTTCATTTTGAGGACTTTTTTAACATCTGTGGCGATTCTATTAACTATTTGATCTAAAAAAATAAATAAATCACTTTGTTAAATTAACTTATTGGTTCTATGTGTAAAATGGTCCCGTTTTTCAAGTTCATGCGAGTGTATAACACGAGATATATAACGGTTTAGCGTATGTGTTGTATGTATAATTGATCTCTGGAAACATTATTGAAACGGAATTTAATGTCTCATGTGATAGTGACGTCATGTTCAATCTAGGTCACGATTCTCCATTTCCCAAATTACAGTATTTGCTATCGGTATAATATCACAAATTAACTGGCTCATTCCTCGGTACCATGGCTTTTTAATCAACATTACCAAATTTGTAGTAGTTTACCTTTTTATAAGAGGTGTATTCTAAACTTTCGCTCATAAATTTAATAATGATAAATATACATTTTATAAAGATTATGGTATGGTATTTAATACTTGTGTTATTGTTGTTGTTTTTTGTTGTTGTTTTTTTGTTGTGAGTGCCGTAATTGGGGAAACCTGTTGGCGTCTCTTGAATGAATAAATAAATTTAGTGATTAGACGTCACGCCCTTTCGCACAGGCTCGTTTCAGTGCTCACAATATTCCATGCAGGTGAACGTACAATAATCAGTGGAAGGTGTTCGTGGGTGCAACTTGAAATATACATCTCAATATTATCCATCTGTTATTTGTGTGCAATATGTTACAAAAGAATGCAACACAAATTTTGTAAGTAATAACAACATTTTGGAAAAATAAATCTTATATTTAAAAGTTGTACGAGATAATATATCTCATGTTGACCACATTCTGGAATAAACCCTGATGGAAAATAAACTTACCGAGTGCGTTTATGCCAACAATCGCACCATTCGTGTCTTTTACAGGCGTTACGCAGCTTAGGTGTTGGTCGTACACATGCTTCAGTGACGATGGTCTTAAGTCACTGAACACTTCTGGGTAGTCAATCTGTATTTCATAATACCGAACTAAATTCTTAAATGCTTTATCAAGATTGAACTTCCTGGCTCGGAGGAATCTCAATAAAAATTTGTCATCGTCGCGGAATTTGATATCTTCTCTTGTTTTTGTCTTCTCGCGAAGAGCTTTTATAAATTCGTGTCTCGTTTCCGACTTCTCGTTCAACTCTCGACGAGCCTTTTCTTGTAGTTCGTTACTCAGGTTGCATACATACGATTTGCTGCGTGTGAATCCGGACATTTTTAATGCTCTGATGTTGAGTGCTTTACGCGTGCGACCTTTGAAACACAATGTATACATTAAAGGTGATACCTGACATGATAGTTACCTCCATGATCATAGTACAAATGTACCAAGAACTAACAAACAAGTGAGCAAGTCAATCGCCACTCAGACCTTCGATCAGTGCACAACTATCGAAAATGCTCATCCACCGACTTTCCACCAAAAAACACAAAATGTTGTAGACGTACGGGCACCCAAGATTCTTCAAATACACTCAAACAATAACATTTTGCCACGCTCGATATTTCGAAGGTGCGATAGTCCGGAAGTTCAATAGTTCGAGGGTTCAATGGCCTGGAGGTTCTAGTTGTGAATCATTAATACCGGGGTTGCTATAGCGACGTCGGCGGTAACCTTTCTATAGATATATCGGTCAAATACATATTTTTCATTGCCTACATTATATCACAATGAAATAACCTAATGATAATTTCTTCAAATAAATTTAAAATATCATAATAATAACGTTTGTAAACGTTGGAGCAAATGACCACCGTTTTTAAAATGAGGTGATTGGCGTGGGGCATCTCTCGTTTTTATACAGTTTCGTTAGTGCAAAGTCCGGAACTATCTTTTTTGTGTTAGTTATCACATTACTAATTTGGGATAATGACATACGTATGTCAATTTCTTCACGTGAATACGTCCGAACGCATGTTCTTAATCTATCAGTGTTATTCCAATGATTCAAAGTTGTTACGTCGTGAACTCTTATTATAAAGTTTTTAAAGTACATGTGAAATGCTTGCTACTTTTTCGTCTAAAAACATTTATTGGTACATCAATGTTATTCGTTTTTATGTTTCTAAGCATAACATATTTTTTAAGTGAAAAAATTGGCAACTTTATTGTTGTGTATTTAAATCGAGGCTCCTCATTAGCTTCTCATTTGCATACAGAAATACCCCCTGATGACATATGTACGGGAACTTGTAAGTTCGCAGCTTGCATTGCCCATTTCTTATACAATGTTCTCGTCTTTCACTAAATTGCCACTCATGTACTTGTTCGTCAAGAAAGAATGGATCTAAATGAACACATAATATCAAGTTTATGTGTCCTTTCTGGCGTAGCTAGTCACCGTGATTGTCACCGTCATAATCATGACATCGTAGTAAAATTTACTTGGTCGTAACACATCGACATCCCAAGTCCGGATTTTTATTCCATAAATTAGTACGCAGATCAACTACATGAACATATTATAGTAAATACGACAGAAATGTTTATAAAATTATGAAAATTGTAGTGTTGTATTATGTTGATGTGACAGCTGTTGTAACGGTACACCTTCAGTATTTCTGTGGGTATGCAATTTTAAATTCATTTTTAAGTTAAAATAAAGTGAAATTTCAAATGTAAATCTATCCAAAAATAAAGGTAAATCAATTTTTAAAAGTAAAAGGAAGTTTTCGAGTGATCTGAAATTACAAATGTATAAATTGCATTGCGATTTGTAATTTTCAACTTATTTGTGCTTTTCAGTTTGATATCGATTTTAATTGTGAAATCAATAAAATCATTTTAAAATGCGAATAAAAATGTTAGTTATGAATGCGATACATACAAAAAATACAGGAAGACTTGAAACCACATTGCGGCCCATCGGCTGCGATTAAACAAATAAATTATGTTTGGAGCCATCACTGTATTAACCGTTATAGAGATACATTGGCGACATTTTCACTAAATTGTAGACTTGTTCTACCAGAGGGCTTCACGCATATTAACAGTAAATCGTCGTGATTTGGCGTGGTCGGCCGGCCAAAAACTGAGAATGTGTTTGTTTAAACTCAGTGTTCGTGAAATTTGTTGGAAGAAGGAATTCATACGGAATTATATCACAATGAGGTACTTTCCCGAGTAGGGATAGATGTCATCTGTAAATTTGGATTTAAAAGTGGCGAAATTGATCAAAATTCCCCCAAATTCGTGACTGTACACACAATTTCCACAGAAATATATATATGGGATTTATTTATTTATTTTAACAAAAATATGATTGTTATTCCAACATTAAATTTCATTTTAAGACAACTTATACACTGTCTTAATACTTACATCATACTCTGGAGTGTATTCATTGTTCGTTTTGTATTTTTTCTTCTTCCCCGACTGATGCCAGTGTTCTTATACTGCGTGGGGAAACGTAATTGAATGATCACTACAAGATGGTAGTGATTGTAGTTGTGCGAGCGAATCGTGGTGCTACATTACGGAATCCACAATTGAACATGAATTCAGTCACTTGATAACTGAAACCCAGACAAATCAAGCACTTCTATTTAGTGTATTGTATTTCCAACCACCAAATGACTGTAGATAAAACAGCAGTGTCATTGTGATGGATGTTAAAGTTCTGAATGACGAGTGCCCTCTAACGACAATATTGCGTTTCGTATACAGAGGTCAAAGTTGAACGAGATTGCCTGCGTACGCATTGCGCAAGCTGCGGACACATGGTCGACGTAGATATCGCTGATCCGGACAGTTCTTGACTTGTGGAGCAAACTAACAATGGAGTATATGGTGGGAGAATCGGGCACTACACAGGGGAGAATGTAAGTCTTCAAAATATAGTTGTATTCCAATATTTAACGCGTTTTGTTCTCAACAGATTGAGATTATGTTTGAGAATGACACTATGAAAATTTTAACATAGTGGGACTCGAGAAAAAGTCATTTTCTGAAGATGCCTCGCACCTAGGCCTACATTGTATTACTGCTGATTTTAAAGAAAGTAAACTGCTTCACATGTACTAGCAAATTGCAAATACGATTTGATGTGCACCGGAAGTCGGGATACCCTCATCGAGGACGCCCCCAACCTTGAATGGGTTGTGACAGTTCTGGTGGCATTGCTCTGATCCACAGTCCTGAGGTGTTTGCATTTAAAATTATTTTCTTGATTTCACAATTAAAATCGATATCAAACTGAAAAGCACAAATAATTTGAAAATTACAAATCTAAATGCAATTTATACCATTTGTAATTTCACCTGACTTTGAAAATGGATTTACATCCGGTGTTGAGGGACTGTGCTCTGATTGGTATAAATAAATATTAACAGGGAATTATAAACTTTTCTTGTCGGGATGAACCTTGTCCTGACGAGCAGCAGTAAAACCCTAAATAGCGAGTGACAAGATGGGAGACAATTTTTCCCCGCAGTGGGACACTCAAGTACAAGATGGGTGTTCAATTTTTATCAGATTCAAAAAGATACCTGGTACCATGGACGTACTAACTAACACAGGATGACCCACTGACCAATTTCCAATTTCAAAATGATTATTTTGAAGTAATAAATAAACACTGATGTTTAATTATTCTTAAGATCGTAATTGTGTAGCCGGGTGATCCCTAAATCTGTTTACACAGTGCGTTTGGCAGTTCTCGGAGTTGTTCAGCACATTCGAGTCATCACGTGGTCATGTGACATTTTCCCTAAGCAAAGGTGGCGTCGCACATAGTGGAGCTCATTAGCGCTGAAAGTGGAAACAGATTAACAAAAAAGTTGACAGGGTGTTTTAAACCAGCTATCTTGTGCTATCACTAATGTCAATCACAGTAATAAACAGGAATAATAACAATTCGGATCTTATATTAAACTTGTTTGTCGCAAATCAAGGTAAAGTTGAAATATCATACAATAAAAAATTAAAGCAAAAATTTCAAAAACCACCAAGAAAGTACTGTAACTTCCCGATCGTCAACTAACTTTTGTCGACCTGATTTATTTCTGGTGTTTGTCACGTGGGAGGAACTGCGCATGCTTGTCGATCGCTGTTTTTGAATGCGCATTGAAATTGGTAAATGATATGAAATGTAACATTTTTCATGCGATGTACACACCCCTTTTAATGACGACAAGACTCATCCAATTACTTTGATCTTGTTTTATTTGAATGTTTATTGGTAAGACAAAGGTTTGAAGAGGATTTTAACACATTACAACACCAAAAGTAAACTTTCTCGAGTGCTTTTTTAATCCTCTTAACTCAGTGGTTCATCCTGTGGTAGTACGTCCATGCTGGTACCCATGTTTGAGAATCTGGTTCTGAAAATGTCTTTTATACCCACATAACACCTCAGTGGCAGAGGGGTGAACACTGTCGCTACTCTGTGTCAGAGAAACATGCTTTTCAATTTAAATTTTTGCAAACGCATTTGCATACTCAAGTCATTCCATCACAGATGAGATAATGTATACAGATTTGATTACAGACACAGATATTTTTTCGACAGTTTTGATCTGAAGGGAAAAAAAACCTTGAATAAGAGGTTTAACAAAATATACAAGCAATAGCAATTTATTTCCTAATTCTGTTTGAATTATTTCAGCCTTTGTTGCCAGTGTGGTATTGCCATAGAATCTAATCCTGCTAATATGTGCGTGTCTTGTATTCGTACACAAGTTGACATCACTGAGGGAATTCCCAAACAAGGAGTCATATATTTTTGTAAAAACTGTGAAAGGTAAGTAATATCTAAGATACTAGAGAATAAAGAGACGGGCAAATTAACATTTGGGATTTAAATGTGATTTGTAAATGTAAAATTTGTATTAGAAGCTGTGGCTTTCTATTAAGGTAGAGATGCAGTTTACCTGACAGGTATTTCAATTAGTTAATTAGAAACCAAGATGACCTCCCTTGTCCAGACGGCGTTTTGAAGATAAACACATTGTCAATCATTTGTGAAAACTTCAAAACAAAAGGTCAAAGCGTATAGGAGCTTTTTTTTTTTAAAGTTCTGGAATGTGCACTCAAAAGAAGTTGAGAAATTGCTAATTTGCATAACAATTCACTCAGTAAGAAGTTTGCTAATGCTCATAATTAAAATAGGCTGTAACAGTTCCAAATTTAAATGTATTATCGTTTTGTTAAAAGTTAAATATAGTGCATAATATGGAGATCCCGTCATTTCTTTTTTTCACCATGTTTCTTTTTTATTATTTATGTACAGCCTTGCTAAATCTTGCTAGACATTCAAAAAAGAGAATGTTTGCACCTGTTATCTATATTTTAAAATCGTTTTTTTGAGTATGTTCTACTATTCACAATTCTACAAAATTTCAACAGTCTATAGCCAAGACTGTTTGGATAATAAAAAGCAAAAAAAAAAAATTCACTCCCAAGTGCCAACGAACCTGCATCTCTACCTTAAAATGGTAAAGTGCAATACAGGGGATGCGGCTTCTATTAGAGCATCTACACATATGAGATTAAGTAAAGCCTTGCTTCTCAATTGTTCAAAAAGAATGTGTGTGACTTCTATTAGGGTTGCAGAGCCTAATACAGATTTTATGGTAGATAATTTTGAGCTTCTGTTTTATTCGTACACATGTTGTGCTGTCATGAAATTAAAGGATAAACTGTTTTTTTTCACTATTTCCAAATTTTTGCAAGAATGGGAAAGTCATGAACTTTTAGAAGTGAAAGCTGCACTAGTGTTATTTACATGTAGACAGAGTGATATTTATTAAATCTAATTATTTTTGGCAATCAAAATTTACTTGCTTACTGTTCTGATGTTTAGATAGTTGTGCCATAATATTTTTTGTATACAGATTCAGTCACTGAACTGAGGTTGACCAGAATAATTCAAAGTTTCATTTCTATTTTCTGTATTCACTAACCCATGTAAGCACCATTTAGATTTTGTATGGCTCATGAAAAATCTTATCATGAAACTGAATTTAAAAAGACGCGTCTAAAATAAGTGATTACAACAGTGAAAATTGTGTTTAGTGATTCAATACCACAACCCTGCAGGCCAACTTCAAGGCTCCACTATTTTAGGATTTGTTACTAAACCTGATTTTATCATAATAAATGGCGGAGGTGTTCTGCCTAAAAGTTGGAATACAACTTTAAAAAAATTGAAATTAATGGGGTCGTGGACATGTGATAATTTTTCACATTACATTTCCAGGTATTTACAGCCTCCAGAATCCTGGGTAGTTTGTACATTGGAATCCAGAGAGTTACTTTCTTTGTGTTTGAAAAAATTGAAAGGTTTAAATAAGGTATGTGTTCCTCGGACCAAAGATCTCAGCCACCCAATCACGAGTCAAACAATGACAATTATATTTTTCGAGAAATTATGTACAATTTTCTACTCTTCAAATGTTCTGAATAAAACAAAAATGTTTTTTTTGTCTACCTGTCTTGATCAGGTAAACCTTGTTGATGCTGGTTTTATCTGGACTGAACCGCATTCCAAGAGGCTAAAGGTCAAACTGACTATTCAGAAAGAGGTGCTTGGTGGCACTGTTCTACAACAGGTGTTTGTTGTGGAGTTTATGGTTCATTATCAAATGTGTTCAGACTGTCATCGAGTGGAAGCAAAGGATTTCTGGAAAGCATGTGTACAAGTCAGACAGAAGGTTTGTATGTGGAAATATTATATTACCGTAAAATCTCTATTAGAAGCCGCATCCCTAATAGAAGTCGCACCCATTATTTTTAAATAATTGAGAACCAAAAATTCATCATTTCTCATATGTGTAGATGCTCTAATAGAAGCCGCATCCCCTCTGTTTCATTGTACAATTTTAATAGAAGCTGCGGTTTCTAATGCAAATTTTGCAGTTGTAAATTAAGAATTCTCATTTTCTCAAATTCAGCGCATCTGTTTGATTCAGCAGCAAGCACCCTGAATTTGACGCATTTGACAATTTCTGCAGTTATTACAGTAGTGCTAGATGTTGATAACTTACTACAATAGGTTACACACTTTGTTTTCACATTTACAGAAGTTGTTACAAATAATGCAGACAGCAAGTCTGCAAAATGAAGCGCACCGGAAGAAAGCTCCACCCATAAAAGTGGCGGTACATAAGTTTTGAATTTTTCCTCCAATAAACGATTGAGGCTCCCTTAGTTACTTCAATTTGCGTCACATGTTATTTCAGTGAGAGGGGCGCATAAAGTGGTGGCACTGTAAAGAACGTTAGTTACCCGTAAGTTATTTTACAGAACCAGCTGACCGACTGATCATGACAGAATTATTGATCAAAGTGCATTATTTCTACTATGGAAATAACCGTATCACGTTGATGTATATACTGAAAGCTGCCTGCAACAAATGTCCTATGAAGACTTCATCCAGTATATCAATAATGAAATTGAATACATAAGTAGAATGGATGTTATTCGATTATTAGTTCTCGACGATGAGAACCAAAAGATTGATGTGCCACCAAAAATAATCGCTTTAAAAAGGTTATCACTAGCAACACACGGGCACACGTCCGAGGAGGGTTGCTGCCGTACATACAGTCTTCAAGTAGTTTTTGTCGAATTTCCCGTTCGTAAATGCGCGGCCGCAATGTTTTATAATATTCATCATAGTCTATAACGTTGTCAGTTAGTTTTTTAGTCGCGGAATGGTCGCTCTTACGCTTTCCTGGCAGGATACTCTCGGTGGTAACAAACCGTTTGACGATATTATAAGCTATCTGCTTTGAAACACCATTTCGATCTCCGATCTCAGCAAATGACAGTCCACGAAAATACAAATCGACAAATCTTCAACTGGTTTGTTGACTCCTTGCTACTCCATCATGGTGCTTGTCGATTTGTAGACACGAAATCAACACAACGACCAACCAAAGGTGACTGAAAGACGGACGCGCCTCAAAGTCTAGGTGTACCTGATTTTGTAGCAAAAATAGTAAAAACATTGTCAGCAATATCTGTCAATCATTCTCCTGATTTGCAGCCGATGTTTATATTTCTAGTTACAACTTCTGTAAATTTGAAAACAAAGTGTGTAACTTATTGTAGTAAGTTATCAACATCTAGCACTACTTCAGCGTCAAATCTCAGTGCCTGGAATTGCTGTAATAACATTTCATTAACATTTCAATTCTATGTATGATGTAATTTACTCGTATTCTAGACAACGCACAAGAAAACGTTCTTTTATCTGGAGCAACTGATCCTGAAACACCGTGCCCATACATCGACTGTCAACATCAAAGCCCACCATGATGGTCTTGATTTCTACTATGAAGGCAAGCAGGATGCCAGAAAACTGGTTGAATTTTTGCAAACTGTGGTTCCTTGTAGGTACGTCACTAGGGAGATTTTCTGTTTCGGATTAGTTGACAGGATTGAGTGATCATCTGTCAAACCATGCCCTGTCGAACATAGACCTTATCTAAGGTTCCCTCATAGTTTTTACCTTACCCGTACCATCAAAGATGGAAGGGAAAGGTATATTAAGGGAAAAATTTTGTCCGGCGTTGTCGTCGTCGTTGTCGTCGTCGTTAATAATTGTTATTGTGTGCATGATAACTTTACTAATTCTATTCCAAACTTCATCACACTTGGTCACCTTGTTCATCAGTATAAAGTGTTCCCTGAGTTTGAACAACAGATGTCCTGTATGAAAATATGCAAAAATTGAGAAAAAGTGATAAAATATTTTGACTGTTTCTACTTGACTGATCACTGGTGATACACATCAAAGTGGAAATATGCATTGTTGTATGTGTTCAATGAAGCAAATGATTTATCTTGTAATAATATCCTTGGTAATGTATCTCAGAATCCCTTACTGGGTTT